GAAGTGAGAAGACAGACAAACCAGCCGTTGGAAAGTTTATCTGAAGAAACCATTTCAAACATCATAACGTGCTGTCATATGTTTAATTACGGAAGTAGTCTCTACGACTGAAATCAAACGTTACACGATCAATAAACATCAGACGAAAACCACATTAAAACAACACCCGATAATTAATCATAATCAAACCGGGAGGGCTACACAAAGTGTGATCCCTCATACGTAGCTAGCCAATTTAAGATCTCCGGAATCGATGACCTGATTAATTCCAAAAGAAAACTACACGAAATCTTTCCTCTGACGCAAAACAACGACTGATGAGTAAGAAAGAGTAGATGATCTGAAACAATGTTTGAAGAAACAGACAGAAGATATTACAGCACAATCCAGCGTGGATTTCAACGAAGTTTACTTTGAGGATACGTGCCATTGTTTTCGATAGCGCCAGTGTTAATCTTGTGAACAACATAATATTTAAATATTTCAAGATCAGAAACCAGCTGTTGGAAAAATGATCACACCTGACTTCCACTGATAATTTACAGATAAAGAGTCAAGAATGTCGCCAACAGATCACAATAATAATAAAAAAGCTATTGTACGTCTAACTGGTCAAGAACGACTCTCACCTACGAAATGTAATACCTGTACGACACGAAAGAAAAAGAACGTTAGTCAACATTGGAATGTCGGTCTTTCTTCACTTTCATGACTGGGCCTTTTTGGCGCCCTTCTAAGGATGAAGTTGGTGATGCAGTGCTGATCTCCGTTCCTATGAAATCAACCAGGAGTGACTTTTTAAGACAGTGTCTACAACCACGTGACAAGCGTAGCGCGTAGTTTCATGTTTCCTTCCCACATACTGATACTCATTTATCAACCTCGGAAGAAAGAAGGGCAAGTGGGGCCCTGGGCTGAACTTGGAATCCATCGATTCTGATTTCGATAATCTACCGACTGAGCAACACTGGTCTGAAGCAATGTGTAGTAAACTCCTTGCTCAAAGGAATTCGTAAATAAGACAAAGATTGCCCTCGAGAAGAATCACACCTCGCACCTTTGGTGCTGGAAGCAGACAT